AAGTTGATCTGAAAGAGATAATTACGATATTCTGAAAATCGTTCAGGAAAGTGGACGGCTGAGTTCATGGACTGTGAGACTGACTGCGGGCGCGGGCCCCTGGCTGCCCGGCTCCTCGCCCGCCGCACTGGCGGCATCTCCATGAGCCCCACCCCACCGGCTGAGAGTTATCCCCAAAGCCCCGAGTGCGTGTGGAGAAAGGGAATGTGAAACCTGCTGCTCTGTAAAGTCTGTACAGCTCAGGAATCATGTAAGTGAAACACTTGGCATATACCAGCTGTGTCAGTAGTTACTGCTGATAATTTCGATATTGTCAGCCTTTTTCCTGTGTGAATTCTAGTAGTGGGGTTCTAGGACAAGGATTAGGTCTTCTTCACCTTTGCATCTGTAGGTGCTACATCGGTGTGACAGTGACATGCACAGCACCAACAAGAGACAGACAAGCAGCAGGAGGTTCTCAAAGAGGCGAGGGCCGCCGTCTGATTGGCCCACCCCGAGCCACGGGCAGCTCTGAGCACAGGCTGCACGGCGGCATGGCTGCGGAATTCCAGAGGGAAAGCTGGGCCGGGGGCTCCTCCATCCCCGACATCAGCTGAAGGGGGACATGTACGTGAAGGAAGCAGGTGGCCCTGGCACTGCATGGTGCTCCCGTGTCTATAGTGGGTGCTCTCTCTGCCCAGGGAAGACCTGAGGACTACAGTTTGAAAATGAAACTGCTATTGCTGGCTTTTTGGGAACCAACAGAAGGAATTCCTTGCTTCTATGATTCCTGGGTTTTCACTTCCCTGACAAGCCCTGAAGAGCAGGGTACGGGAAAGAGAAGAGGACTACCTCTGTGCCTTACTGACATCAGCAGCCATCCCTCCCCAAAAGCTCAAGCTTCCGTCTCTCTGTAAGGCTGGGCCTTTAAAAATCTGAATATGGTACGAGCCGCTCCATTTCGCACCCCTGATTGTAGAGAAGTAATGGTTGCAAACCTCCGTCATGAGAAAGAGAAAACACTCAGCTTGGACATGGGTATCCGCTCGGGTTACAGAGTCGGTCTGTCTGATCTGGAAGCAGCCCCTGCCTGGGTGGTGAGCACAGACATTGACCTCTCACCCCAAGGAGACTAGCAGGAGTCATCGGTACGGCCCTGAGGCCCGGGGAGGTATGCACACACCTGTCCTTAGTTCTCACAGCACAGAAACAGATGACGATTGGCTAGTAAAGAAACCGATTACTTTACTAATGCAAAGTAATCCATGCAGAGAGAGGTTCTGGCCCTGTGATCTCTGAATCAGAGAGATGAGCATTCTGAATCCTTGAAATGTTAAATATCAAAGTCCGTTGAATGAGCATTATGCATTTCTAAGGGCACAACTTCATGCTGGTTTTCCTTCACCTTCCCCTCCCTCAACTCCACACACCAGTCCATGTCTGAGCCCCTCCACTATCCTCTAAGCTCCTAGGGCAGGGCTCACGTATTCCCTCAAAAATCTGATGAATGGGTGGAAGGCAGGGATGAGATACTGGCTTCCACAGCCACGTCACATACTGCTTATCCTGCAAATACTACGTTGGAGTTCATTTGTGTGCCCTCATAAACCTGCACAGGCTGACAACGCCTCAATTGGTTTGCAGGAGGGAGGACTAGTCGTGACTTAACTGAAAACCTGTTTGCCTGGAGCCAGGGAAGGCAGAAATGGAGTCAAACAACCTCCACTACAGTGGGTGGTGGTGAGAAGTCTGATTCAGAGGAAAGTCATCCAAAGACCAAAGTTCACACGCCTTCATGAGCAGTGGGAAGTACAATGGCCAAATGATCAGCAGCCAGCAAAGGTGATGCTCAACGAACACTGATTTAAAAGGGCTGCTTCAGAATTATTCAGAGTCAGGGGTTAGACAACAACCTGGACTAAGAGAAACAACTACAATTTCACCAGGATTAAAAAGTCTGCAGGGTGAGGGACTATTTGGTCTTGTGTCTTAAAATCTAGATACTTTTCATATGAAAAATGAAATGTGCCATCCTCAGTCCCCAACAACAGTGTGCTCTGTTCTGCTTTCCCAGGCATGGGCCGCATTCGTGCTGCTGTGCCCAGAGTCCCTCTACCTCCCCACCCCCCACCCCCTGCCCCCTGTGGCCAGCAGCATTCGCTTCAAAGGTCCAGGCTGGGGGAACTGGTGTAGTTCTCAGCCATGAAGAGTGAAAGCAACCGGATAAAACCCATCCTTCAGCTCTTTTAGGGACCCTCCTCCACCCAGGCTCCCAAGGCTGTCCCAGGCTGCAGCCCTGCATCTTTCTGAGACTAAGTTCCAGACACTCCCTGACCCTAGGGCTCTAATGGGCACGGATTACTGCTCCAAAGGCCAGGCCTGTCAGTCCAGGGAGGATGACTCCTCAAGCACTGGCAACATTTCCCCACGCCCTTCGTGCCCAGGTGTTAAGTAGAGAGCAGAGGGTACTGGCATTCTCTAATAAGCAGGATATCTACCAGGGCAGAAGTGCAATGTTTGATGGAAGGAGAGAGGGGGCAACAGAGAAGACACACATGTGGGCACAAGTGCCCATGGTGAGGAAGCTCGCCCAACCCAAGGATTTGCTGAGGGCTGCAGCCCACAGCTGGGCAGTGCTAGTTTTTGGCTTAACCCAGCTTACTCAGATGACACAGAAAGATTACACTGTTCTATTAAATAGAGGGCATAAGCTGACGTTAGTGTCTGCATTATTCAGCAAGGTAATAACCATATTAAGATGACAGACTACTGAATTTGGATGTTTAAAAATCTTCTCTTGTTCCTCCTTTCCCTGAATGAAAGTGATGTGCTTTTTAAAAATGTATGTATATTTAGCCCTAGCCAGTTTGGCTCAGTGGATAGAGGCATGGCCTGTGGACTGAAGGATCCCGGGTTTGATACTGGTCAAGGGCACATACCTTGGTTGCAGACCTGATCCCAGCCCTGGTCAGGATGTGTGCAGGAGGCAACCAATTGATGTGTCTCACATCGATGTCTCTCTCTCTTCCCCTCCCTTCCACTCTCTCTAAAAATCAATGGAAAAATATCCTCGGGTGAGGATGAACATAAAAAACAATGTATTTTTTCAATGTATTATGAAAATAATAGGTGCCCACACGTAAGTTTTTAAGTTGCTGACTTTTCCTTCTCAACATTTTGCTTCCTCACATCCTTTTCTGTTCCTAGATCAGAGAAGGTTCCCAGATGCGTTTCTCACAAGTCGGAGTGAGTCTGGAGTCAATGTAAGTGGGGCTAATGCAGGGCAGGGATGGCGGGCGAGGCTGGTACCACTCGCCTCACATTCCCACCACTCCTGTCCCTGCCAGGCCGGTGCCACAGTCAAGGCCTCATCCTGAACCTGGGACCTCCCTGCACACAAACACTCTGCAGTGATTTCATCAATCACTGGCAACATTTCCCCACGTCCTACCGGCCCAGGTGCTGGCATTCGCCTCCGCCACACATCACGAGAACAGCCCACCGAGGTGACTGTGCCACACTGAGCAGCGGAGTCCTAGCTGTGACCCTGGCTCCGCAGCCTGCACAGGCAGCTGCTTCTCAGACAATCGGGCCCGGCCTCCTGTCACTGGATCAGAGACAAGGGCCATGCCAGCTCCTGCCCACAGGAGGCACGGGATCAAGGCCATCATTTCCTGCATGTACAGCCCAAGCCCAGCTGACGGGCCAGCCCACCGCAAGCTCTCCAGGTGCCGAGCTTCCGAGAGCTTCTGCGAGGCTGTGCACGTGTTTCCTCCTCTGACGCTCCTCGTGCGGCCCCTGTGCTCCCTCGGCAGAAGGCCGCGCTGCCCTCCACAGCTGGCGTAGGTCCTCCGCCTGAGGGGAAGGACTGCCTACCTGTCCGTGGGCGAAGCCCACCATGGGCTCCATCATGGCCATGCGCTTCCTGTACTGCAGCGCGTTGAGGGCGCAGTAGTACTGAAGGGACGAAAGGTGCTGTTTCCGCCGGGCAGCTGCCACCTCCTTCACCACCTCCGTCTTCACCTGGTTAGGAGGTGAAAGGAAAACGGCACTTTGGCTAATGGACGTGGCAATTCCGTAAGAGCACGCAACTCCAAACCATGCCGATTTCTACATGAGAACCATTTTTGTAACAAAGAGAATGAAGCACAGATAGGTTCCACCTCATGTTTTTAAATATCCAAATTAAAAATAGTAAAGGGATAGCATGTCCATGTTGTGAGGCTGCACTGGGTGGAGCCAGTCCCTTCTCCTGGTAGCACTCCCAGCGCCACACTCGTTAGGAAAACAACATGGCCAGTCGCTGAAGGCCACACACATTCTGCGTCCCCTGTGAGACTACTCTAAGGAAATCATGTGACAGAAGTGAAAGGTACGTGCCTGAAAATATCCATTATTATTTACAGTAAGTAGTGAGTTAAAGAGCCAGAGCCAACAAGTGCCTGAGTGCCTATGACTCAATCACGTGAGGTGCCCAGCTTACGTTAAAATCATAGTGTGACTATAATTTTACAATGGTCCCAAGTTGGTGTTTGAAAACTAACTTTCAAAGCTAGAATTAATAAGTGAAAAATCTACTTTAGGAGATTTAGAATAAAAAATTTAAAAATCTATGTATAGGAAAAAAGAGAAGAAATTCACCAAGATATCCTCAATGCCACCAACTCACAAGGGAAGACACAAAAGGAGCGACGTAAGAAGTGAGAACATGTAAGGGAGGTGTTCTCACCTTTTCATTCTCCTTTTTCTTAGGAAGCCTGCTATATTTTGCCATTGAGAGGTCATGCTCTAAAAGTAAAGAGACATGTTAGCACCCAGACAGGTTGAAAGGCAAGAACAATCATTCAGTGTCTGCCCCCAGACTCACTAAACCCACACACAACAATGGGGGAGGGTGCCTACCAGTGCTGGCGAGTCCGAAGAGATCCTTTAATGTGCTTACTTCTGCACAAGAGAAAAGAGATGTCTCAGAGCAGAGAAACAAAGCAAGCCAGTCCAGAGCTGCGTGCTTGCCCAAGGAAAGAAAGCCGTCCGCGAGGACGGGAAGGCGCTGCCAGCACCTCAGGCCCTCGGCCCTCACGGGGCCCTGGCCTGGCTGGGACTCCTGGTCTCACTGGAGCTTGTGGCTTCAGCTGCACCCCACACCCAGGGACCCTGACTACCCATGGAGCACGGAGCAGTTCTCTCCAGACAGCCTGTGAGGATCTATGAAGGAGAGGGCACTTGAGGACCAGGTGGAGGGCACGGTGGCAGGGACTATGCATGGAGACCTGGAGTGTATGTATAAGCTCCGCCTCTTCAGCCCCCACTGTGTTCTCAGACATCTCTCCTCAGAATGCCGTGACTATACCGAACCCTAGAAATTTCCTGTCATTGCCATTTTAAAACCTGACAAAAGAACATGGGGCGCTTGTTTTAACGAAAAAGATCTGAAGCAATCCAGTGTACTGTGCTTTCAGCAAGCCAACACCAGTAACCATTACCCCATGTGGGCGCTACCCCTTCACATACAAAGGTGGCTAAACAAAGTCCAAGACAAACCCCCCAAAAAGATCAATGAGAGCAATGGGAGTCCAAGGTTAAACACTTAAAAACACAGACACCTAAACAAAATTGATGCTTTACAATTTTAACACTCTCCATCTCTACTTCCTCAAAGCCCAGCATTTTCACATCATCTACATTGCTTTTCAGTTTACTTCAAAACTGCCTCCAGCTTTTCAATTTCTCTTCATATTACTTCTTGATATCAGGATACTTTCTCGCATTTTCCCTTCTTTCTCTCTCCCTTTTTCTTCCTATTGGAGCAGAGCTGTGATGTTTTTCCTTACCAATTTAAATAGCTTTCTTAATATTTCTTGTGCTGCCCTCATCCAGATTCCGTACTTGCACTGGTGGGCAAACGAGTAAGACAGCAAAATGAAACACACCATCAGG